TCGACACAGGGGACACAGGAAGGTCCTGGCCCGGAGGGGAGAGGAGGGAGAGACTGGGGAAGACCAGAGACAAGGACACGGGAAGCCATGCTCCGAAGACGGGGCAAGGAGGGGTGGCCAAGACGGTGGTGCCACAGGAGAGTCTCGTGAGACAGGAGGCGACAAGCACAGGGGGCAGACTCAGGACCAGACCTGGACGCAGCAGCAAACACCTGACCCGACGCTGCTACCTGACCGGACGCGGGGACAGGAGGAGACTCAGTGGTCAGGGTGTAGAGGCTCGACCCCGGCCGACGCGAGAACGTGGCCAGGTGCCGGCCTGTGCGTGCGTCCGTGCAGTGGGTCACCCGCTGACTCGCAGGAGTGAACTAGTGAACCCCCGCATCCTGTAGGTCTGCACCACTCACCAAGTTCGTCGAGAACGAGGGGAGGTACAGGCCAGACAGGGTGCCCGAGGGGGCAGCCGGACACGGGAGGACAGTGGAGAAGTGAGCGAGGACAGGACCCCCAGAGGGGTCAGCCAGGGAGACTGCAACCGGCCGACCAAGCGGCGTGAGTGTGGTGCGGTCCCGAAAGAAGGAGCGAGAAGCCCCAGAGTCAAGTGTAAAGGTGAGGGAGGCCGAAGCCAACGCGGTACCTAAGAGCGCAGCCTCACCCGCACCTGAGGAAGCAGACTCACTAGCACCTAGAGCAGCAGCCGCACCTGTACCTGGAGCAGGAGACTCACTAGCACCCAGAGCAGCAGCCTCACCAGTAGCTAGAGCAGCAGGTCCTATACCTGGGTCAGGCGGGACGCACAGGTGACCTGCACGGTCAGCACTAGTAGGCAATGCATACATGGCAGTGAGAATAGCATCATAGTCAAGAGCATATATATCTACCCTCTGCCTAAGCAACTCCACCCAGTCGGGAAGCTCAGCCTCGTTGCCAAACACGGTACGCCAGGCGTCGCTCAGACGGGCGAAGCAGCGGGACGGTGTATGACTACGTGTCCCACAAGGCTGACCAGTCCGAGTACCAGTGCGAATCATGTAAGAGCAGCGAACAGCACTGAGAGACCCTCCACTCTGAGCGTACCACTCACGAAGCTGGCGAGGCGTGAGAGACACGCGAGAGGGTCGCGGGAGCTGCATCTGGCCGCCACCACGAGTAGAAGCAGCAGGAGTGGAAGTAGGAGTAGCGTCGCCACCCCTACAGCCCCAACCAGCGTACCACTCACGCAGCTGCTGGGGCGTGAGGGACTCACGCAGGCGTCGCTGGGGCTGCATCTGGCTCCGCAAGTAGAAGCAGGAGCAGGACTAGCAGCAGGAAGGCAGGCAGCCAGGCAAGCCAAAAGGCAGGCAGGCAGGCAAGCAGGCAACGCGCAGCGTGCTAGCAGGGCAAGAGCTCACCAGTGGTGGGAAGAGTAGGCTCGGCGACTCAGTGGCTCGGCAGCTCGGCGGCTCGGCGGCTCGGGCGACTCGGGCGGCTCGGTGGCAAGGCGGCTCGGCAGCAACTGCAGCTCAGCAGCTCGCTGACTCGGCGGCTCGGCGGCAGGGCGGCTCGGCAGCAACAGCAGCTCAGCAGCTCAGCGACTCGGCGGCTCGGCGGCAGGGCGGCTCGGCTGCTGGGCGGCTCGGGTGCAGGGCGGCTCGGCGGCTGCAGGTGAGCGATGAAGGAGGAGGAGAAGCAGGGGAGGCCACGCACCTGCCACCCCTCTGCTGGCCTCTCCCGTCGCCTGTCGACGCGACCTGAGGGGGCCGCTTGCGGCCCCCGAAGGAGCCGCGACGGGCGACGGGAAAAGGGGGGTTGGGTGGTGGGGGCCGGTAGGTGCAGCGGCGGGGCCAGCAGGTGCAGTTGCGGGGCCGGTAGAAGGTGACGGCAGGAGCCGTCAGGAGGGGACGGCGAGGCCGTCAGGAAGGGACGGCGGGGCCGTCACGAAGGGACGGCGGGGCCGTCAGGAGGCGACCGGGCCGCGACGGGGGCAGGCGGCGGGGCCGCGTAAGGGCCTGGGCGGGGCCGCGACAGAGCCGTCGACGGGGCCGCGTGAAAGCCGGGGCGGGGCCGCGTAGAAGCCGGGGCGGGGCCGCGCGAGAGCAGGCGGCGGGGCCGCGAAGGAGCCGGGGCGGGGCCGCGTGAGAGCAGGTGGCGGGGCCGCGTAAGGGCCTGGGCGGGGCCGCGACAAAGTCGTCGGCGGGGCCGCGTGAAAGCCGGGGCGGGGCCGCGTAGAAGCCGGGGCGGGGCCGCGCGAGAGCAGGCGGCGGGGCCGCGAAGGAGCCGGGGCGGGGCCGCGTGAGAGCAGGCGGCGGGGCCGCGTAAAGGCCGGGGCGGGGCCGCGACAGAGCCTGCTGCGGGGCCGCGTGAGAGCCGGCGACGGGGCCGCGTAAGGGCCGGCGGCGGGGCCCCGTCAGAGAGGGCGGCGGGGCCGCGTCAGTGAAAGCGGCGGGGCCGCAGGGAAAATGACGACCCGAGGGGTCGCTAAAAAAAATCGCGCCTCGGGGGGCGCTTCGGTGGGCCCAAAAAAAACGGTCCGTAGAAGGACCCGCTCTATACCATGTCAGAATCAGCGAACAGGAAAATGAATGAACTAGCAGTGAAATGAGTACAAGTAGGAAACCCTAGAATTGTGTACCCCCTATAGGCTAACCCACTGTAGCCTACACAAGCATAACACATATAATGTTTGACAGAAAATTGCGACGATTCAAGCATGGCACGCGCCGACCAACTTGACCGAGTTGCAGAGTTTTTTGGGGTTCGTCAACTACGTGCGCCGGTTCGTCCCCGACATGGCGAAGCTGACTGCCCCGCTGACAGACCTGCTGAGGAAGGGGGTTGAGTACACGTGGGGGGAGAAAGAGCAAGCTGCCTTCTCGGCCCTCAAAAACATTTTGTGCTCACCGCCCGTGCTTCACATCGCAGATCCACACCGTCCGTTCGAGCTCGTCACTGACGCAAGTGACATCGCCGTGGGAGCAGTACTGTTGCAGGATTTCGGGAACGGCCTCCAGCCAATCGCGTACGAGTCCCGCAAGCTGCACCTGCCCGAATGTAACTACCCGATACACGACCGCGAAATGTTGGGGATCGTGCACGCGTTCAAGGTTTGGCGGTGTTACCTGACTGGCGTCGACGTGACAATACGGACAGACCACCGATCACTACAGTACCTACGTGCCCAACCAAATCTCAATCCACGACACATTCGCTGGTTGGACTACCTTGAGTCCAACTTCGACTACACGGTTATGTACAAGAAAGGCGCATCCAACATCGCCGACGCACTCACCCGCCCTACCGCCCAACTCCACGCCATCCTACTCGCCCAGACCAACCCGCTTTTAACAGGCCTATTCACCCACGGATTCCGCACCGACCCATTTTTCACGACTGGAAACTCACAGCAACTGGCAGAAGCTAAAGGGGTTTATTATGTAAAAACAGGCACCAACCGCATCTGGGTACCCGCGTACTCACTACTGAGGGAGCTGCTACTGCAGGAGGCACACGACGGAATTACCTCGGGACATTTTGGGGTAGAAAAAACGCGACAGCAACTGCAGCGATATTACTACTGGCCGGAGCTGTTGAGCGACGTGCAGCAGCACGTGGGCTCGTGCCCCACGTGTCACGTGATGAAGAGCTCGAGGAAGCGGAAGGCGAATCAATTACAGCCGATACCACTGCCCGAGCGCGCCTGGCAGCAGGTTACCATGGACTTTGTCACAGGGTTACCTTCGAACCCTGGGGGTAACGACGCAGTGATGGTCGTCGTTGACAGGTTGACGAAGATGGCACACTTCGCTGCGTGCAAAAAGTCGATCTCAGCCGAGGAGACCGCTCGTCTGTTCATCACAGCCGTTGTTCGCCTGGTACATCAGCCCTTCGTTCCACGTCAGCTTGCTTCGCCAATACATCCTAACCACAAGCCAACTGCCTCGCCACCGCCCGCCATCCATGACTCGCCCTGCATCGGAGCCGATCATCGAGCCGGAAAAATCATGAGCCATCGGATTCGGCACCCCACGAGAATTAGGAGGATTGAATTCCTCGTCCGCTGGAAGGATCGCACGCCAACTGAGGACAGCTGGGTGCCCCTGGCCAACATCGAAAACCACCCTGCCCTGCAAGTGTACATGAGGAGCCGGGGCTTCCGCGATATACACGCACTCGTGTAGCGGAGGGAGCTTCTTGAGGGGGGGGGGGTAGTGTAAGGAATTTTCTCGATATTCCTTTGTGCACCATGCAACATCGCGTACAGCAGCAGCCGCTGTTCGCCCGTTACTGCTAACGGGGCTTCGCCGACTTCGCGCGCACTGTTTCACCAAACCTCGCACTGCTGGCCTGGCCGTGTCGGCCTACGCCTCGGGACTAGCCCGAGCCTCGCTTCCAGCATAGCACTAGCTAGCTCGCACGAATCGCGTTATCATTTGCATGTTTCGCATATAAATGTTTGCTCATGCCCTCGCTCACATTTTGTACTCGTATGATAACTTAGTGCAATTCTCACTACTTCGATTCATTGCACCCGCAATACAAAGTCAATAATGAATTGTCCATACGCATGCTGAAAATAATTTCTACACCCTCCTCTAATTACATGTCATACAAATTGGACAACATAAAATATACCTGCACTCATTTATTGATAGATATGCGCTAATCACGAACCGAATACATTCACTAACGTTGCCATACATTTCATCTCCTTTCCCCTGGAGAGAACACGAACTTCGGGAATACGTGCTACACAACACAAGCGGTGGCATGTACATGCAAAGGTCCTTAATGTGTTCGGCCTATTCAGTTGGCTCATCGATTTCAGACTCATCCCCAAGAGGGGGGGTGGTAGTAGCACTTGTGGCTCGCACCAACACATCAGCCAGCCCAGCTTGGTCTCGAACCACCTGTACATGAGTAAAAACGACAACGAAGCCTTTTGAATCCGGTTGTGACACGTGTCATGAGGTAATTGACATGCCCAGAAATCAGTAAAACACAATGCTGATGTTCACAACGTTCTAAGATCTTACCAGTATCTCATCATCAAGGTACGAGATAATAAGCTCCCTCTGATATCTGCCACCTGGAAAGGGAGCAGAGTATAGTATAAAAAATGTAAGCACACCATCTGGATACCGAGGAAGAGTTTGATACAACAGCAGCACCACTGGTCACGACCCCACCGGTGTACTCAACCACTGAATGGATGGCGCAAGTGAAGCACTTACTGAGAGGGAGCTTGAGGCCTGAGGAGAGGGAGTCCTTCAGAGCAGCAGGGAGTGATTGACTAGCAGAAGCTAGCTGGTCGAAGACACCTTTAAGGGCTGAAGGGATGCTGCCGTCCGGCACCACAGGGGTAGCCACCACAGCTTCGGCATACTCCTCCTTGATTCTGTTACAGTAACGGTACCAGCCGGATGTCAACAACTCTGGAATTACTGGAATGAGGGCAAGGCTCCACAGGCACTAGTAAGAAATAATGCGTCAAGCTGGTTGATAGCTTTACCTGACAGGGCCTTCAACGGCAAGACGAGTTGACACAGTGATTGAAGTCTCAGCCTGATGGCAACAAGGACATGATGTGAAGGAGGGATACTTGGTGAGAAATACAAGTAGCAATAAAAAAGGATCGAAGTCCGTGTGCACACATTGATCTCCACCTCACACCATGCCCGCTTGCCCTTCCATCATTTAAACACGAACCTACGAGATACTAGCCACCCTTCTCAGTGACTGGAAGACGACATTCAACGCACATATTCCTAACAGCTTAAGTTGGTTTCAGAAGTACATTCCAGTCGGCAGAACCTGCATCTGACCACATTGTCGTTGCACACACACCATGCTCCCTTCACACTGCGACCATTCCAAACTCGTACCGCGGTGAGGAACTTAAGGCCAGCCGTCACTTTGGTGGAACCCTCCAAGATCTGCACTTGCAGTGACTCCAGTGATGCCACCTGCGTGGGAAACCGCCTGGACAGGGGGAGGGGAGCGTCAAAATGCAAGAGAGGGGATCGAGAATGAGATTATTGAGAAAGTTGTTTAACCAGTGACAATCTCGCGAAATTAGGCAGAATGAACCTGATGCGACAACCTGATGAGGCAAGGCGCGGTTTTAGGCACACAGACAAACTAAAGAGTAGCATGGGACTTACTTGAGAAGCACTCGGGTGGCGATGACACCTGGGTTGCGAGTGGCTGCCCACACGATGTCCCACGTGCCTTCCAACAGGGGCGACCTGCAGTCGGAAGAACAGCAAATCCAGGCACAGTGAACCTACGCACAAGAACATTCTCTGGCAGTTAATATAGAGTCTGAAACATTTGACACACTCAGAGTTGTAGACAATGAAACTTACGTAGTGGGTCGTGGAGTGGGGTTGAGTCGTTCCAGCTGCAGCAGCTTCTCGCTAACCTCAATCTTCCCGGCCGCATTACCCTTCCCTGTGCTCAGGGCCTCCGCGCCACCCGCGTCCTTCACCTGTTATGAACGATGAAGTAGCTACGATGTCAGACCGACGCAGCAGCACCGACACATGGAATACTACATTCTTTCCTGAACACCCTCATTCAGAAAAGGAGCGTTGCAACTAAATACAGGTTCACACCCTGTGAGGATTTCCGTGTATGTTGTGTGATCCTTGACTCGCAAGCCGCCATTTAAAGACCTATGACCTTACCGCGAGAAGGAGAGCCTCTTTCGCGGCAACTCGCTCCATCTCCTTGGCTGAGAAGGAAACAGCGTCGGTCGAAGCCACCGTGGCACGTACGGAGATTCGCTTGCGAGAAACGCATGGTTTGCAAGAACGGACGGCAGTGATCGGCTTTGACGAGTGAAGGAAGGTGGATGTGAACGAGACAGCATTCGTTGATGCCGACTTGCGTGAAGCGGCGGACACGGCATTGGTGACGGCAGCGGCCTGGGCCGACGGGATGCTAGACACTGCGGATGCCATAGATGCTACTTGGATGTCAACCACGCTGGTATGGATGCGTGTGGTCGTATGAAGAGAAGTTATCAAGCAAAGCGCTAATGTAAGCAGCCGAACGCAAGTATGAGAAAGGCGAGATCTTGATTTTGCACGATGACAGAGAATTGGCGAGCTGAGTGCGGACGAATGAGAACCATGAGCTATGTAGGAGGTGGAAAAGCAAGAATCTGAGGGTGCACACCAACAGAAAAGCATACACCAGCTCAAATCTCGGGTTCCCTTCGTGGCGCTCCTCGATGTTGGGCGTCAGCGTTTCCAAAGCCTGACCACACGCGTGAATCGAGTGTAAATCGACGGCTTCATTGAGAAATCGTAGGCACGACGAATGAGGGTGCAGCATCTTCTCCACATCATTGGGACTGATTTCGGCGTGGAGCAGTCTTCCGACAACACGTGTCAAAACATGAACATTCCTATTCGTGTCTCTGATGGCGTGTAATGGAAGCTTCGAGCAGCATACCGTCATTCGTTTTTGTGAGCTGCGCTTCGCTGTTTCAAGTGGGGCCATTGTATCTGAGCTGTCCAAGTATATGAAAATCTATATGAAGCTTCCTGTCTTGAATCAGGGCTGAACTGCAGTAAGCCACAGTAAGTACTCAAGCTGCCTGGAATATTCAGGCGACCTACTAATGGTGTGGTGTACACCTGCTTCTCCGAATGTCTAACCACATCCTTTTCCCAGATAGATCATGATCGGCTACCACCCCAGAAAGAGCTAAAGAGACCACCTGCCTTCTTGCCTTCTTTCTTAGCCCGGCCCGCAAGATCCGGGAAATTGATCGCGTTGAGAGCAGTGTCGAGAACAATAGGCCGGCACGGCACCGCTTGGAAGGGTGGTGGCACTCGCGCAATGTGGGGAACGAGCTTTGAGCCTGGAGTTGAGTCGACAGTGACTGCACTCACGAACTCGTTCAGGTTCTCAGTCATGTACTTGGCATCCACCTGCTGCTGGGAGACAGCACGGCACAAGAGACAAACCAGATTCATAATAGTAGTAAAATGAAGGGTGGATAAAAGCAGCTATAAAAAATCCGGGATGGGCCTAATCACGCGCAACTGCTTCACCAAGAGACACAAAGCAGCAACGGACCTTGTCCTTGGCACGCAGAGAGAGCTCTGCCACGCCCTTCTCAAGGGCGGCGGGGTCCTTGGCCCTGATGGCGTCCAGAGTGGCGCGCGCATGGATGGCACACCGCTGCGCCTTGCTGCGCACCACCACCTCCTCCACCTCCCTCTCCTCTGCCGTCTGCTCTGATGCCTGCACGCATGGGTGCATGGATGCGTGCGTGTGTGCATGTGTGGATGAATGCGTGCACGGGTGCAAGGATGGGGTGAGGCGGGGGGCACACGGCATGCCGAGTGGTGACAAACACCAAGCTGGTGTGGGCATTCTTGATGCTGACATAGACCAGAGGAAAAGCTACCCAGCATAGTAACTCCACACTATCGCACCTTATCTTTGCCCTTGCCCTTGCTCTTGCCTTTCCCTCCCTGTGCTCCCGACCCCTCCTGCAGCTGCTGCAGTCCCTTGGCTGCCTGCTCTGCATCTGCTGCCGCCCTGCCAAACACCACATAGGCCTCCGCGTCCTTGCCTGCTGCCTGGTACGCCAGCGCCACGTAGAACGCCCTGGGGTGGCAGGGGCGGAATATCGGGGAATAAAGGGGGAAAAGAGGGAAGAGGGGATGCAGAGAGGGAGGAGAGAGCGTGAGCAGACAACGGAAGAAAGAAGATGGATTGGAAAGGAGAATTAGAGACAAGGATGGGTTTGAGGGGTGATAGAAAGAGATGAGGCTGTACTTGCAGGAACGGTATTAGCCATCCCCTAGATGCAGGCCCCATAGCAGCCATCCCATACCTGCAGGCCTGGTGGCAACCATCCACATACCTGCAGGTCTGGTAGCAAACACCCCATACCTGCAGGCTTGACAGTAGCCATTCCATACCTGCAGGCCTGGTAGCAGGCTTTGTTGGCCTCGAGCTGTGCTTGCAGTGCCTTCTCCTCCGCACGGGCGTCTCTGCCCGATGCTGCCAGGTCCCCCAGGTCTGATGCGTTCTGCACTTGGTGAGAGAATCCCACGTCATGCCATACACAGAGGGCACCGCACAGATGCATCCAGCGAAGGGGGGTTGAGATGGGCCATGCCTTGGGAAATCAGAGTGATGCGATGGGCATTGGCTTGTAGTGGACGCAACACGAGATAGGTTTTTGTAAGCAGACTAACTAGATTCAAGACTGCTAAACTCCTAGTCAGTTAGGCAGGTAGGTTTGTAAGCACTCAGCTCTGCATGCGCACACAGAACCGCACAGCACTGTCACCAACACCCACCCCCACACACCTGCAGCAGGGTGTCATAGAGCCGTATAAGGTCTTCTGGCCTCGCAGGCTTCTCCCGCTCCTTCTCCTCCCGCCCCTTCTCCCGCTTCCCCTTCTTCCCCTCACCTCCTCCGCCCGCCCCCTTGCCCTGCCCCTGCTGCCCCCCCTGCGCGCCCCCTTGCTGCTGCTGCTGCCTCTCAAGCCGGGCCTTGGCGCCGGCAACGAGCAAGAGGTTGCGGTCAATGGTGCGCTGCAGCACCAGGCAAGACACCGCCCTTTCCAGCGCCGCCAGCTGCTCCTTCACGTCCTCCGCTCCGCCGGCTGCCACCTGGGAAAGGGGAGAGGATGGGGAGAACGGGCAGGAGAGAAAGGGCAGGAAGGTCGGGGGTGGATGCATGACTTTCTGCCACTTAGGACTCTGGAACCACGTAAATATTTAGCACCAAAGGTAATCTGCTGCTTCTGAATAATACAAAGAAGGCAGGCATACCATGCCCCATTCTGGCAAGTAAACGGCCCATATCATACCATGCCCCATGTTGGAGTTACTCCCCTCTCCTTACTCGTCTCTTGCCCTTGCCTCTTCCCTGCCTTGTGTCCTCACCTTCTTTCCTTCCTTCTTATTCTCGCCTTTCCCCACCTTGTGCTGTCCCCACTCCTGTTCCCTTGTTCCCTTCTGCATTCTCAGCCACTACCTGCCCCCTCCTGTGCTCGTGCTCGAGCTGCTCGGGCGCGAGTCACAGGACTCTCAGCTGAGGACGGCTGCTCTTCAGTCCTGCCGTGCGGGTCTGGTGGTCCACAGTCTGTTCTCCCTTCTCCTTCTCCAGCACTAGCACTCCCATGCCTCGCACTGCTTGCGCCCTCCCCTTCACTCTTCCCTAGTCCACATCTAGTGTATCCTTCTTTGCCCCTCTCTTCCTGTCCCACCTCTATAGCCGCCCTTATCCCCTTGCCTTCCTGCTGCTGCCACTGCTCACAGCTGCACGCATCCCTCAACTGCACGGTATGTAGGTCCCCCACCGATACCGGTATCACCTCCTCCAAGTGTTCCGCTGCCTTAGCTCGCTCCCATGCCGCCCGGTTCTCCGCTTCTTCCATTGTATGGTCTGCCTTTTCCCCTGTTGCTAGGGGCTCCCCTGCCCCCACTTCCTCACTCTCCTGCTCTGCTCCCCCCAGCAGCTCTGGCCTTCCTCCCCGCAGCTTCCTCACATGCTGCTCCGCCAGCTTGTTTCCCTGCGCCTGCTCCTCTGCTTGCATCCGATCCTTCATTGTCACGCCAGTCTTTGCCTCTGCCCTGATTTCCCCGAACAACTCCGCTGTCCTTAGCGCTGGCTGCCAACCACTCCCTCCCATGTCTGTACTGCTCAGCTCCTTCTTCCCTCCTTTCTTCACCGCTCCCTCCTTCACGCCCTTCCCTTCCGCATCTGCTGTCGCTGGTACACACGGCCTTGCCCCCGCCTCTACGTCCCTCTCTTCTACTTCTCCTGCTGCAAGTTCGCTCACTCCTGCCCCCACCTGCTCGTCCTTCTCTTCTGCTTCCGCGGCTGCTGGTACACACGCCCAGGTCCCCTCCCTCTCATTCTTCCCTTCCCCTTCTGTGGCTGCCCATTCCCTCACCTTTTCATTCTTCCCTTCAGTGCCTGCTGCTACTAATTCGCACACTCCCGCCTCCTCCTTCTCGTCCTTCTCTTCCCCTTCTGCCACTGCCCATTCCCTCACCTTCTCGTCCTTCTCTTCCCCTTATGCCACTGCCCATTCCCTCACCTTCTCGTCCTTCTCTTCCCCTTCTGCCAATGCCCATTCCCTCACCTTCTCATTCTTCCCTTCAGTGTCTGCTGCTACAAATTCACACCCTCCCGCCTTCTCCTTCTCGTCCTTCTCTTCCCCTTCTGCCACTGCCCATTCCCTCACCTTCTCATCCTTCTCCTCTTCTGCCACTGCCCATGCCCTCACCTTCGTTGCTTGCTCCCTTCCTCCGTCCCTGCCCCCACTGCGCAGCCCCATGACTTCACTGCTACGAAGCTCCGCACAGGAATATTCTGGCTCCTGCTCCTTTTCCTCTTCCTCCTCTTCCTCCCTTACATACAACCCCACCTGCCTCTCTGTTCTTTCTCTGAGCGCCCGCCCTTTCCTTCCGTCTCTGCCCCCACTGCGCAGACCCAGTTCCTCATGGCTACGTAACGCCAGGCATGTGTACTCTGGCTCCTGCCCCTCCTCCTCTTCTGCTCCTTCTTCCCTCACGTACAACCCAGCCTCCTTCTCCTTACTCCCTCCCAGGGCCTGCAACTGCGCCCGCAACTGCCTTATCTGGCTCTCGATCTCCTCTGCTGACCCTTTCCTTTCGCCTGTCCCTTAATCGCAGTCCCTTGCCTCATGCCCCCTTTCCCCGCACTCTTTACATGTCGATGCCTCCGGGCAGTCCCTTCGGCGGTGCCCTGGCTTCCCACATACATCGCAGTTCCTGCAGTGCATCCTTATGTGCCCCGGCTGCCCACAGTGGTAACAAGTGCGTGTCTCTGTCCTTTTCTCCAGCCTGCTCTCTTCTCCTGTTCCCTCCCCTGGTATCATCGCCGCTGCCCAGGTAGGACTCTTCTTCTCTATCGTTCTTGGCAGGTATACCTCGTACTTCCTCTGCGCGAGCTCCACCCGCTCCGCTAACTCGAACACCTCTTCTGGTGTTGCATCTGCTCCTAGCTCATAGACTCTCATTCTCAACCCTCCTGCCAATCCCTTGTCTAAACCGTTCAGAAACTTGCTAATGATCAAGCTGCTGTCCGTGCACACCACATCTTCCGCCAGGTTCGTTAACCGTCCGTAGTATGTCAGCAGTGACTCCTCATCCCTTCGCCTAAACTCCTGAAATTCCCGAATGCGCACCGCCGTATGCCCAGGGAACTGCTTCCTTAGGCGCTCCAGGAACAGTACCGTTGGGTCCTCGTCATCCTCTTCTGCCCTCCTCAGCCATTCACCAATCTTCATGCGATACAGAGTCGCTGCTTCCCCTCCCAACGTGCTTGGCAGGCTCAGGAAGAACTCGATCGGGTCCATCCCGATTCTGTCGCATCGGTATTTAACATTGCTGATCTGCATCAAGTAATTTTTCAGACTTGGGCCGGTTTTCTCGTTTCCCATGAAGCGTACTGGCACCTCCACTCGCGGCTGTGCTGTTGCGCCCCACTTCCCTGTTTCCCAGCTCTCCGTCCCTCCTCGCTCAGAAACCATAACCCCTCTCCTCCTCTCCTGTTCTCCCCTGCTGCCTGTGCTGGTTCCGTACAGCACTCGCTCTAATCCTTCCCTAGCCGCTCTTGCTCCCGCAGATCCTTCGCCGTGACGCCCAAGCCTCCTCGGGCCCATCGGGCTAGGGCTCCTCCCTCGGGCATCTTCACGCTCCTCCCAGCGCCTCTCTGCATCTTCCCGACGCTTCTCTCCCCTTGCAGGGGACCGCTCCTGGTACCGCCGCCCTCTGTCCTCTCGCTGTCGCTCCTTCTCTGCTGCCCTCGAGACTTCTGGTGACCGCACACCTTCTCTCCTGCCTCGCCTGTCCTCCTCGCGCCTCCACTCCCTTCCTCTTTCCTGTGAGCCCCACCTGCCTCCTTCTTCAGCACCGCATTGCTCTCCCCTCCTCGGCAGTCCTAAGCCTATCCAGTCACCTCTCGCCATACGCCGCTTGTGCTCATACCCCTGCCTCAGATCGGGCGAGTGGAACAGTCCAGCAGGTGCGCCATGGCTCCTTTCTTTCCCTTGACGTTCTGTGGCCTGGCGCTCAACTCCACCACCCCAGCCCTGCTCCCTATCATTTCTTTTCCGTGCTCCACGTATGCGCTCTTCCTTCCTCCTTCCCCTTTCCTCGTTCCATGCTTTCTCGCGATGCCTCTGTCCATCACCCTCTCCCATTCTTTCTCCATTCCCACCTCCCCGCGCAGCAGGGGAATCGCCTCCGTCGGCGCCAGCGCGCCTCCCGCCTCCCCGCGCAGCAGGGGAATCGCCTCCGTCGGCGCCAGCGCGCCTCCCGCCTCCCCGCGCAGCAGGGGAATCGTCTCCGTCGGCGCCAGCGCGCCTCCCGCCTCCCCGCGCAGCAGGGGAATCGTCTCCGTCGGCGCCAGCGCGCCTCCCGCCTCCCCGCGCAGCAGGGGAATCGTCTCCGTCGGCGCCAGCGCACCTACCGCCTCCCCGCGCAGCAGGGGAATCATCTCCGTCGGCGCCAGCGCGCCTCCCGCCTCCCCGCGCAGCAGGGGAATCGCCTCCGTCGGCGCCAGCGCGCCTCCCGCCTCCCCGCGCAACAGGGGAATAGTCTCCGTCGGCGCCAGCGCGCCTCCCGCCTCCCCGCGCAGCAGGGGAATCGTCTCCGTCAGCGCCAGCGCGCCTCCCGCCTCCCCACGCAGCAGGGGAATCGTCTCCGTCGGCGCCAGCGCGCCTCCCGCCTCCCTGCGCAGGAGGGGAATCGTCTCCGTCGGCGCCAGCGCGCCTCCCGCCTCCCCGCGCAGTAGGGGAATCGCCTCCATCGGCGCCAGCGCGCCTCCCGCCTCCCCGCGCAGCAGGGGAATCGTCTCCGTCGGCGCCAGCGCGCCTCCCGCCTCCCCGCGCAGCAGGGGAATCGTCTCCGTCGGCGCCAGCGCGCCTCCCGCCTCCCCGCGCAGCAGGGGAATCGTCTCCGTCGGCGCCAGCGCGCCTCTCGCCTCCCCGCGCAGCAGGGGAATCGTCTCCGTCGGCGCCAGCGCGCCTCCCGCCTCCCCGCGCAGCAGGGGAATAGTCTCCGTCGACGCCAGCGCGCCTCCCGCCTCCCCGCGCAGCAGGGGAATCGTCTCCGTCGGCGCCAGCGCGCCTCCCGCCTCCCCACGCAGCAGGGGAATCTTCCTAGTTGCCGTCAACGCTTGGCGCGTCCATGTCCACGTCGTCATCCACTCCGTGCTGGCCTCCTGCCAGATCCCACGGATCGCTGGCTGCGGGCTGCCTTCCCGGCTCCGATCTGATGTACAGATCCGCTCCGCGTCCTCCAGCACGCACGCCCACGGGCGTAACCAGATCTGCGCGATACGCCGCCCGTCGTGGCGAGCGCGTCGGCGACCTCCCGCGCTCCTGCGAGCGCCTCCCTCGCGACGGAGAGCGTTCCCGCCGCGAAAACATTTGCTGCATGCGCAGCTCATGGCGATCCATATCGCCGGCCCTGTTCTCTCGACTTGTGAGATGTTCACTCTCCCACACGATGGCTGCCCACAGTGGCGTAGTCACCTAGCTAGAGTAGCCTTGTTGCGGTAACGTTATCCACTATATGAGGCAAACAAGTCGAGAGAACAAGATTGCTTTGCTCAGCTAGGCTACTTGTGCCTGGCTTCCCAGTCGCACAGTTCTCTGCGTGATGGGTTGGGCCCGAGCCGCCTGGGCCTTGGATTGGCCCTCACCAGATTTTCTGTCTCCCAATGTCCCTGGAATTGCACCCGCAGCGCCCTGCAACCCCCAATGCTACCAACCCTTCGCTTCTCCAAACACCCAACTACCTCCCCTATAGGTTGAATAGCAATTGCTACAGCACTTCTACACCTCAATTAGCGTATGTCCAGAATATGATGCACTTACCATTATATTCGGTGACATCCATTTTGGCAAGCAAACGGCCCATATCATACCATGCCCCATTCTGGCAAGTAAACGGCCCATATCATACCATGCCCCATCTCGTGTCAAGTCAACGGCTCATACCATTCCCCACCTTGTGTCAAGTCAACGGCTCATACCATGCCTGATCTTGTATCAATGGCCCGTACCATGTCATCTCGGATGAGCCGCTTAGCATCGTGGTACGCCACAAAGATCTTGTCGTACAGGTTCAGCCGACGGTCGTTTGCCACGTCAGCAGATGCCACCTCAGCCTCCAGCTGCTGTGCTGTTGGGGTCAATGAGTCATCATCCGCAGGAGTCAACAGGTCGGCAGGGGTCAACGGGTCAGCAGGAGTCAACAGGTCAGCAGGGGTAAATATGACACAAGGGGTCCAGAGGTCAGCTGAACCAACCATTTCCCCACCCCCCCCCTCCCACTCCTCCACCCACCCACCTCACCTTCACCACTACCCCCGTGCCCCCCTTTTTCGCTAGAAGCCCACCTTTGAGGATGCAAACACGCGTCTTGGCGTTGAGCACGGAGTACTTGCGCCCCAGCCAGTCCAGCTCCGCCAGGTTGGCTGCCTCGCGTGACCGCGCCTCTTCCATCACCGCCTGTGCGTGTGAGCGGTTGAGGGGGAACGTGAGTGTGCCGCGGAGCGGACCAGTGCAACAGGTGGGTGGGGGTGGCAGTGTGAAGGAAGAGGGGGGAGGGGGGGGGGAGAAGGGGGCCGATGACAAAAGAGAGTGCAAAGGCAACCGGAAAGACAAGGGTCAATCAGCAACGATACGTGGATCAGAAAAAAAATGACCATGTCAAAGAGGTGAAAGAGTCAACAACCTTGCACGTCCTCCCAACGCCACTGCCCACCGCACCTCGAGCTTGGACTGCAGCAGGTCAGCCCCGGGGCCCTCGTGCGCAGAGAGGTCGAGCAGGTTGGAGGCCGTGCGGGGGGCAGCTGAGGAGTCGGCATTGGGGGCGGAGGCAATGTCTGAGACTCCTAGAAAATTACCTCAAGCTTGGACTGCAGCAGGTCGGCCCCAGGGCCCTCGTGAGCGGAGAGGTCGAGCAGGTTGGAGGCGGCAGCGGAGGAGTCACTGTTGGGGGCGTGGGCGCCCATCTTGTAGCGGCAGAAGCGGATGCTGGGCTCCATCTCCTCCGCCCGCTGCCGACACTCCATCTGCTCCTCCACGTCGCCCACTCGCCCCAGCTGCTCGTACACCGTGCTGTACGGGGGAGGGCACGTGGGGGAGGGGACAGCACGAATATAAGGGGGGAGGGACTGTGAGGAAGAGGGAGGGAAGACAAGGCAATGAGATAGAGGGGATAAAATTCGAATCACAGCATGGGATAGAGGACGCGAGGGGGGAGGGTGCATAAGGGGCGGAACGCGGGGGGGAAAAATGGGTACAGATACGGGAGAGAAAACAGGCGGGGCTAGTTTTGAGGCCAGGTATGATTTCAGGTTTGACGTCCGGTTTGAGGTCAGGTTGGAGGTCAGGTTTCACGTCAGGTTTGGCGTCAGGATTGAGGTCAGGTTTGACGTCAGGTTTGAGGTCGGGTTTGAGGTCACGTTTGAGGTAAGGTTTGACGTCAGGATTGAGGTCAAGTTTGAGGTCAGGTTTGAGGTCAGGTTTGAGGTCAGGTTTGACGCCAGGTTTGAGGGCAGGTTTGACAGCAGGTTTGAGGTCAGGTTTGACGCCAGGTTTGAGGGCAGGTTTGAGGGCAGGTTTGACGTCAGGTTTGAGGTCAGGTTTGCGTTCAGGTTTGAGGCCAGATTTGACGTCAGGTTTGAGGTCAGGTTTGAGGTCAGGTTTGACGTCAGGTTTGAGGTGAGGTTTGAGGTTAGGTTTGAGGTCAGGTTTGAGGTCAGGTTTGAGGTCAGGTTTGACGTCAGGTTTGAGGTCAGGTTTGACGTCAGGTTTGGGGTCAGGTTTGAGGTCAGGTTTGACGTCAGGTTTGAGGTCAGGTTTGAGGTCAGGTTTGAGGTCAGGTTTGACGTCAGGTTTGACGTCAGGTTTGAGGTCAGGTTTGACGTCAGGTTTGAGGTCAGGTTTGACGTCAGGTTTGAGGCCGGGTTTGAGGTCAGGTTTGAGGTAAGGTTTGACGTCAGGTTTGAAGTCAGGTTTGAGGTCAGGTTTGACGTCAGGTTTGACGTCAGGTTTGAGGTCAGGTTTGAGGTCAGGTTTGACGTCAGGTTTGGGGTCAGGTTTGAGGTCAGGTTTGAGGTCAGGTTTGACGTCAGGTTTGAGGTCGGGTTTGATCCCAGGTTTGAGGTCAGGTTTGACGTCAGGTTTGGGGTCAGGTTTGAGGTCAGGTTTGAGGTCAGGTTTGAGGTCAGGTTTGAGGTCAGGTTTGAGGTCAGGTTTGAGGTCAGGTTTGACGTCAGGTTTGAGGTCGGGTTTGATGTCAGGTTTGAGGTCAGGTTTGACGTCAGGTTTGGGGTCAGGTTTGAGGTCAGGTTTGAGGTCAGGTTTGACGTCAGGTTTGAGGTCAGGCAGGTTTGAGGTCAGGTTTGAGGTCAAATGACGTCAGGTTTGACGTCAGGCTTGACGTCAGGTTTAAAGTAAGGTTTGACGTCAGGTTTGAGGTCAGTTTTGACGTCAGGTTTGTGGTCAGGTTTGAGGCTAGGTTTGAGTTCAGGTTTGGGGTCAGGTTTGAGGTAAGGTTTGAGATCAGGTTTGACGTCAGGTTTGAGGTCAGGTTTGACGTCAGGTTTGACATCAGGTTTGAGGTCAGGTTTGACGTCAGGCTTGACGTCAGGTTTAAAGTAAGGTTTGACGTCAGGTTTGACATCAGTTTTGACGTCAGGTTTGTGGTCAGGTTTGAGGTTAGGTTTGAGGTCAGGTTTGACGTCAGGTTTGAGGTCAGGTTTGAGGTCAGGTTTGACGTCAGGTTTGACGTCAGGTTTGAGGTCGGGTTTGACGTCAGGTTTGAGTTCAGGTTTGATGTCAGGTTTGGGGTCAGGTTTGACGTCAGGTTTGAGGTCGGGTTTGACGTCAGGTTTGAGTTCAGGTTTGATGTCAGGTTTGGGGTCAGGTTTGAGGTCAGGTTTGAGGTCAGGTTTGACGTCAGGTTTGGGGTCAGGTTTGACGTGTCAGGTTTGACGTCAGGTTTGACGTCAGGTTTGAGGTAAGGTTTGAGGTCAGGTTTGACGTCAGGTTTGAGGTCAGGATTGAGGTCAGGTTTGAGGTCGGGTTTGACGTCAGGTTTGAGGTCAGGTTTGACGTGTCGGGTTTGACGCCAGGTTTGAGGTCATTGCTGTCAGGTTTAAGGGAGGATGACAGAAACCGGGAGGGCGCGGAGGATAGGGAAGAGGAACAGGACAGAAGCAGGCGGGTGGGGAGAGGGAACAGGACAGAAGCAGGAGAACGAAAGGGGATGTGGAAGAGGGAGAGGAAGAAGGGGAATAGGGGGGTTCATAATTCAAACGACAGCATGCCGACACAGGAAGACAGAAATAAGGTGAAGCCAAGGTGCAGTCCCTATCAGTTCTGTCGCGTCACACCAAAGCATAGCATGCCTCCCAGGCCCAGCGTCTTTCCCCCTCCCCTTCCTCCGCCCCCTCCCCACCCGAACTTCCCCTGCCCCTGCTCACCGCGCGCGGCTGAACTTCTGCAGGGCGGCGTCGAAGTCCGTTTCACGCTCCATGAGCACTGTGCCCCACATGTAGGACGCGTATGCCTGTGATGCTCATGCGCACGCATGCACATGCATGCACACATGCAAACATGCACAAATGTACACATGCACACACATGCACACATGCACAAATGCACGCAAATACACATACACACGCGCACACACATATGCACACACACACGCACGCACGCACCCATGCACACGCACATGCACCATATGCATGCACACAATCACACAATCACACATGCACACATGCACACACATACACATGCACACGCACACGCACACACTCACGCACACACGCATGCACACACACATGCACACACGCACGCACGCACACACACAGACGGCGCATGGGAGAACGAGGAGGGATCAGAAAGGGATCACGTTTGGACTACTCGGGAGTAACATAGGGTCAAAATGTGCAGCAATCCCCCATCAACCAGCACGTTCTACCCAACCCCCCACACATCCACACATTCATACAACCCCCCTCTTCCCCGCACCCGCGTTCCCAACCTCCCCCCTCATCTTCCCCCTGCTCCCCGCCCCACCTCCGCCTCCAGCGCGGTTTTGGAGTCGGCCCTGGCGGCGCACAGGCGCGAGAACCCGTCCGCCCATCTGGCCGCACGCGCCAGGCGGCGCAGAAGGTGCGCGCGCTTGCGCGCGAAGGCGGCCTGCGCGGCGGCGGCGGAGCCCGCCTCGCTGATGGCCTGCTTGAGCTCCATCGCGTACGCCCACGCGCGCTCCGCCGAGAACAGCGGGATGTGCAGATGCCTGATGGGGGGTGGGGGTGGGGAGGCAATGGAAAGGATGGAGGGATGGGGGGGTGCGGAGTAAGGGACCAGGAGAGAAATGGGGAGGGAAGTTGGCGTTAGGTTGAAATTGCAGACGGGAGTCAAGCGAGGTATGCAGGTAGGCGACGGAACCACAGGGAGGGAAATCCCCTTGCTCAAGAGTCAGTGGGGGGGAGAGGGGGGGCTGGGGAAGGGGAGTGGGTAAAGGGGAAGGAATTCCTGACGTCGTTACACACACATAACAAACTGCGCTAACCTGAAATCAGCAGTCTTGGCGGGAAACCTACAGACACAATTCGCGCACCTGACATCGGTGACAGTGTTGGGCTCGAGCGACTTGCGCTGGTACTTGCCCTTGCCGTGGAGGAAGCGCAGCGACCGGAACAATCGGCGCAGACGAGCGGAGCAGTACCGCCTGCAACGGACGGCAATGATTGGTCGGTGATAATGGTGGTTGGGTAAGAATGATCGGCGGGAAGTAGTGATGGGCGAAATATGACGCACAAGAGGCGAAAGATTGCCCGCAACGAAGACACAGATGCCGACGCCGTAACGGCTTTCTCATAACATTACTAGCCAGGTCCGTTAAACTGGCAACGTCAAAGACTACAGGAGTTAAACTCTAAATGAGCGAGCCGACGTCGAGTCACGGCAGTCCCGAGGCATACCGGTAGCGCTGGTAGTCGCCGTAGCGACCTCCATGCTGCGCCTGAGCTGTCTTGATGAGATGCAGCACTGTCGCAGGAAGGGAGGTCGGCAGGAAAACGCATTATTCACGATGCGAAAGGATTTTATGATAATAGGTCTACCAGTGAAATACCTAATAGTCCTGAATCTTGAAAAAGGACATCCATCTAGTGTGGTTACCATTAAATGCCAGGGGACGAGGTAAGGGCTTCGAGTCAGCGGAAGCTGGCTCCACTTCCATCGCCGTAGGTTCCGCCATGGTCACCGGAATGCACGGCGGCCTGAAATCCCGCGAATTGATTCGCTAACAAAGGCGGCGTCAAAGAACGTCTAGGAAAGTGAATGCGGAGATCCGCGTGTGTTGGCTGGTCAGGCGTGCTGGAAGAAATGGGTTGGGCAAAATGGAGGGAAAAGGGCACAATCTGTGATCAGGCTCAATTGTGTGACGAAAATAATAATTTAGCTCGCAAAGTGGGATGTTTTCTTATTGTTATTGGGACCTGTTACTCAAAACGTCTGTATAGAAAATTCATAGGCATTCCTTAACGAGAATGAGGAACTGGTGCAGATGTGGCAAGCCCTTTCGAAAAGTGCTGCCCGTGCAGCTGACGTGGACGTGGATGAGGCGCTCCGTGCTCCTCATTCATTCGGCAGGCGGATTTACTTACCGCAGCCTCGTCCCCCTCCTTGGGGCAATCGGAGCGCAATGCACGCATTCGCCCACCTAGCTGGCAGGCAGTCAGGAACACAGGGGAACCAGAGCACGAACTCCTTTGGAGAATCGCACCAATAGAGTGACAGAAATTCCCAAGAGAAAGGAAAGCCGAAGTGCTCTCATCTCAAACAAAGCTTCTGTTTTTTGCTTTAAGCGACAATTACGATCACCTAGTCGAGACTTCTCTCGAGTGATCCAGTCACCGCAAGTCGTTGTGCTGGAAGGATTGTTCAGAGGAATTACCAGTAGCTTGTACATTCCTTTACATAATGGCTTGCAGTGTGCTATCTAGCCAGGTCGCCGTTTCCGGCCTGGCTGCGCCCTGCGCGTCTCCTGTTGATTCCAAGGATGCTGTGTCATGCCCGTCCGTGTCCTTCAGAAATTCCGCCTTCTGCCAAGGATCGATCTCCAGAGCTGCCTTCCGCGCTACCAGCGCCAAGGTTTCTGTCCGCGCCGTCTCTGCTTCTGCACGCAGTGTCGTGGTTGCTAACCTGACAGGCGAGAATCCCGACTGGAACGATGACGACTTCGTCACCGTCGGCCTCGCGCACTGCTTCGTGAAGGACGAAAACGCGAAGCTCCAGGACATGTTTGTCATCGAAGCCATTCCGGCAGGCGCGCTGGAGTGCATGGATAACGGCGGTGTCACATGCTACACACACGTGACCGGCACGACCCTCGGGGTTGTGCTGAAGCAGGATGCGTCTCTGCTGCCGGCCGAATTCAGCAACGGCGTCTTTGCTGAGGACTTCGACTTCCGGACGAAGTGCGCATCGAGGACGTGGAAGAGGCAACACCCACAGGAGCATCTGCTGTAAGTTTATTTCCAAGTTCTTACTGAACGCCTCGAATCCTGTCGCATGACTCTGGCGGTGGGTTCGAGCCATTCATGACAATTAGCTTTATTTCTCAAAGCGTAACTCCTCAAAGGTCTGTCGACTGCTCTTGAAGTTGAATTTCGTCAACGCCTTGTTAGGGCGTGAACGAACTGGTTGAATTAGATGAGTTCACGGACGGGAGGCACGCTACCTGTGTCAATGTCAAGTGTACCATCTTTAGGTCTCAACCTGTCCAAACCAATAGGCGTCATAACCGCCTCAACATCCACTGTCCGTTGTCAAGAATATACTTCACCCTGGGCCACCCTTTACCCGTTCCCTTTCCCTACCTCCACCTCCCACGCCTCTCCTCGTCCGAATTTCCACCCTCCGATGACTGAATGAACTTTTTCTTTCTCCCTGCTGAAGTCCTTACCAGCCTCGCTACTTGCACAAGCTACATCCCTCTCAATCATGCCATGTCCTCATTCCAATCCCAATTCTGTCCTCTGGTGCATTGCAGGAATCTGGTGCCGCTGGGCACGGTGAGGTCGGACTTCAACTTCTCAGTGGAGGACAAGCGTGTGCTCAACATGGAGAACGTGGTGGACGACTCGGACAACATCAAGCAGGACCTCAGCATTGACGTCTATGGCCGCGCCAAGGAGGAGAACGAGGAGAAGGAGATTGAGAAGCTGTACAACGTCTAGGCTGGACTTCCCCCTAAAAAATGTATTGCACGACCTTTTTGGGTTGTGGCGCAAGCATGTAAAGGACACACCTTGGCATGTCACTCATTTCTTGAAAATCTCTTTGGCACAAACCTTGACGAAGGAAATAGGTCTAGATGTGGTAAATTCCTGCCAAAAATAGACAAATAAAAGTAATAAAGCAAAAGTACGTAGAGTCTTCCAAACAGTGTGAAAACTGGCAGATTACCCACCAACAAAAATCAAATGTATAATATGGCAATGTATACCACAACGTACATCACCCTCGACCACCAATTATTCTTTCTATTAGTCCGCCAATTCCCCCCCCACTGGCTTGCTGAGGTGGTGGAGGGGTGGTGGAGGAAGCGAGGTTTGCATATGATACTGTAGAGGCGCATGCTCCTTTTAGGAGGTTCCAGTTCTGCTGGATAAGGAACTTCTGGTTGTTGACACCCACAAGGTTGTAGAAGGGGCCATCTAGCGAGTCAAACAGCATGTCCCCGAACCTGCACGGGGCAGACCATGGAGTGGACGGCGGGAGGAAGGGAGAAAGTGAGTGAGCGAAACATACCTTACAGGCACTGCTGAACACTCAACAGGCAAGGAAAGGCTGTGAGAAGAAGGGATGCAAGCGAGCAGGTGTGCTTACTCCCAGGCGCACTTGTCGGCGTTCTCCTCGCCATCACTGTCGAACCACGCCGACATGAACGGGTCGGAGGTGGCCTCTGCAAGCTCATGGGCGAACACAGACAGCAGCCCATCCATGCCCACGTCCCCGTTGGGAGAGTGGCCGGGGCCGCTGAAGAGCTGCGAGACAATACAGCTGGAGCGACACTGTTGCCAGGAGCATGGGGATCAGGAGAAGAAAAAAAGTGAGGATTAAGGTGGCCGGGAGATGGGAGCAGAAGGAGTCTATGCATGGGGGATGCGCACAGAAAGGATGGGCGAAGAGGGTGGGATGTGGATGGGACACAGGCAGGTGTTGCTGACCTTGGAGCCGGCGTTGCCAACCCAAGAGGACACGAGCAGGCCCTGCCCCGGCACCTTGGTGTACCAATGCCAACCGCAGTAATCCGAGCAGAAGGCGAGCCCATCTGACACCTGCCGAGGTGGAGAAGGCATGAGGAAGGGGGAGGCATGCGGGTCAAGCGCGCCGTTGCTGTGACTTGTGCCTTCCCTTGGCATACAAAGCAACATTTGAACGAAGCATCATGTCAGCTGGGGGAGCTGGATGGATTGGAGAGATCGCCAGGACCCCACCCACCAGCCTCCCTTAGCCTCACCTGATCGACAGTCTCGTCTGAAAGCACGAAGTACACCCCGTCCTTGTCAAACGGCAGTTGCTTGCTGGTAACCGCGTTACGGATGATCGTATCCACAGCGGAGTCCCTCAGCATGGTCCCTTGGGAATACCCCGTGTCCTCCACCTCGCCCCTTACAGTCACATTCCCTGAAATGTAGTTCATGTCTCGATCGTAGTAGAGGCGGTTGATGTTCCACCAGAGTGGGACTGCGGGGGGCGAGTAAGGTCGTGAATGTGGGGGGGGGGGGGAAGGGGGAAGGGAGAAGAGGAGGTGGAAGGGAGAAGAGGAGCCGGAAGGGAGAAGAGGAGATGGGGAGAATGAATGAGGGAGGGGTAGAGGAATCGGTGTAAACAAAAAAAAACAATCCACAGCCGTACGCAACATCCCCCACCCACTCGTGACGCCACCCTTCGCCATACCACCCACCCACCCACTCACCAGTGAGAGCAGCATCGGCGGACGGGTTGAGCGACGCGATGAGGGCGCGCACGAGCGCCTTCTGCGCGTCGGAGAACACGCCGTACCACAGCAGGTAGATGGCGATGGGGCGATTCATCACGCCGCACCGCCGCCCGCACTTCTTCTTGCGCTTCGCGGGCCAATGCGGCGAAATGCCGATAGGGCGAGGGGCGGTGCCGCCGCGGCGAGGCGGCTTCTTTCCTGCTGCTGTGACTCCCTGCGGCTGCAGCTGATGCAGCTGATTCGGCTGCGACGTTGGGCGCGTCCCCTCCTCCTGCACCTGTGAGGGTTTATCGCCGCTGCCGCCACTACCTCTGCCGCCACTACCTCTGCCGCCTCTGCTGCCGCCACCGCTGCTGCCGCCGCCACCGCTGCTGCCGCCACTGCTGCTGCCGCCACCGCTGCGGCCGCCACTGCTGCCACCACTGCTGCTGCCGTCACTGGTGCTGCTGCCGCCACTGGTGCCGCTGCCGCCATTGCTGATGCCGCCATTGCTGATGTCGCCGCTGCCGCTGCCGCCACTGCTGCCGCCGCTGCCGGAAGCAACCGCATCCACTACGCGCGCCTCGCCCCTCGCAGCGGCCATGCCTCGCCGCAGCCATACCATCTCCTGCCGCTTCCCGTTCGCCGTCCCATCCTGGCCCACCGCGCCGCCCTTTCCTACCCGCACCGACATTCGCGCGCTTCCGCTTTCCTTGATCGCATCCGCCGCGTCGTCGTACGTGCCATCATTCGCCGTGTCACCTGGCGAGTCATCTGGCGACAGTCGCCGTACGGTTGGCCGGCCTGCGCTGCGGATACCGTCATGGCGATTCGTCGACGACAGCAGGCTACGGGAAAGGGTCGGGTGGTAGGTCCGCTGGGAACGTGTTGCGCGATTGTCGCCTTCAGAGCTAGCAATGCCGACGACGAGGGTACTAATTAGCAGCAGTAGCAAATGACTCATTATTAGGCTTTGTGGGCTGGCGGCGAGCCGCAAACGGCGTCTCGGATGAACAATGCGCCTGAGGATGTCTCTCTAACACGCTCTCCGGCACTCGCGGGTCATTGTGACGTCGATGGCGAAATCAACGAGCAGCGCTTCCGTCGCTCGTGACCGCTGGCTCGGGTGGTAGTCTGGCGGAAGAAAGGCTCCCTCGCCATAGATTTCACATTTTCGGAGACTCGCTACTTACGCCGTTTTGGTGCCATGGCAGCCGACTGTGCCAACCGCAGGACAGTTGCCATAGCAGTGCGAGCAGTCAGAGGCTGATGGTTTCGCTTAGTAAACGCGATACAGACCGCAGGGTGAACTGTGTGTGCGGTCAACGGTCATTCTTGGCTGACCCCATGTTTGGCGACAATAATATCGCGACTTCTTGTGGTAACCATGTTCAAGCAAGACAAACCTTGGGCGTGGGTTCTTGTTGGCTGGGGGGATGTTGACTGTGGCTCTGCTATGACCACCTGGCTGGCAGTCATGCTAGGTATGGTCGATTCGGGTATGGATACGACAACACGCCGGAGCAGCACACATCTCAAGTTTCTAGTTCACATGCACGCTAGGCTCGGGAATATCGTGCGTACAGCGCCGCTTAGCATTTCGGTTCGGGACCAGGACCACCTCATTCTTTGACCAGCCACACCCCAAAGAGTGATCTGTTCATCATCGCCACGCCTGTCAGCTGGGCTCGGCAATGGAACTTGCATGCATCACCCTGTCTTTCATGCAGCTGGCTGATACTGTGTTGAGGCGTCGCGATATGCCATGTCGCCTATTTGCCCACAAGAGATTGAGCAGGTGGGGTGATAGGGTGGGGGAGGCGGGGGAAAATGGGGCACGGTTGGTGTTGTTTGGGGTTGAGGTAGAGTGGAGTGGAGTTGGTGGAAGAGGGGGTTGGGAGGTTTTACGAGATCGGACAGGTGGACCATTTTATCTCCTCTGCTGGTTACAGCTGGATGTTGCGTTCCTGAGTTTTATCTTCGCCAGATTTTCGCCAGGGTGGCAGCTCTTTCATGAAATCTGTTTCATCACGGGGCTTGCACTGCACCGCACATCCCCTTTGCGAGATTCTCACAGCAGTCCAATGGGCTGCACTGCGCATGATTTGATAATTTGGATGAGGTGTGAGGGAGGAACTCAACTCGACTCGACTCCCTCAGGCGCAGGCAAAATAAGACCATCCCACTTCATCCCACCTCACCCTACCTTACCTCACCTCACCTCTCCTCCTAAAGGGCACCATCATAATGGGGCCACCATTTTGGCGGCGGAAAGCAGTTCACATACAGTGAAGATGAGCAAGAGGAAGGAAAACTGCACACAGAAGGGGAGCTAGTCATCAACATGAGAAGTTGATCATCGCATCACCTCACCTCACCACACCAGAGCCCCACGATCAGACCAGGGTACAGAAACTGTACAGTATAGACTGGACCAAGGCCTCTCGCATCACTCTAATTCTAGTCGAATGGCGCATTCACACGACGACATGTTTGCCAACTTCGTGCAGTTATCAGCGATAACCTTTGCCTTGGCGTGTCTGGTCTCAATGCACCGTTCCTTCACTCCATGGCCTCATCTCGCAGAATTACGCGCCAATTAGTTAGTCTGCTGCGTGCATTCGAAGTGCGAGGATTCCCATTCTCGTTCTAAACTGCGGCGAACCTCGTGAACAGGACACTTCCAGCCTAGCACGGACATACCGGTCACCTCGACTGAGAGTACCCGCATTGCTATTAGCAATGCTCCTTGAGTTGTAGTGACACTGTTTACATGCGAATCGCGCCATGATGCAAAGCGTTGAACCACGGAGAGCAAACCCGCAGTTTGTGCTGACAGCTTTTATTCTAGCAGTTCTCCTCAGAGGCGTGTCAGAAGCCAAGGCTGGCAGTAGTAGTCGTAATACGAACTTAATTCCTCGTACACTCGTCCAGCCTCCTCGTAGTACTGTTCGTTCGTCCCGTGTGTTGCGGCAGCACCTGTGGTCCACTCAAGGATCAGCGGCGCTTCGTGCGCACCCGCCGCCAGCACCTCCTGCGAATCCCACCCCTTTACTACCAAACAGCCGAGCATCCGCGGGGCTGCAGCCTGCTCCGCCCCTCCCGCAGCCATCACGGCCACCGCCAGTGGGAGCCGCGGGACATCGTGATCCGAATGCTGGGGCTCGCCGGCCCGGAATCGCGCCGATCATATCGAGGTGCGTCCTTGTTCTGGTTGCGCCGGTCTGAGCTATAAAGAACGGAATGCTAGCAGAGGCGGTAACGCCGCCGTCTCCTGGAATTCTTTGTTTCCGCTTCACATAGGATCCGCTTCCTTGGCCGTAACCGTACAGCCCTGCATTACGCGCTCGCCCATCTCAGGGAAGGTCAAGGCAGCGCGGCGACGACGGGCCGCCGTGCGACGAACCTGGGTAGCTCAGAGCCCATCGGGATCTACCCGCGATGGGTGCCAGGGTGTTGGAACAAGTGCGGCGTGCTGAATCGGCCGATACGTGTGTTCGTGCTGTGGTAGCGTGTTCTCCGACGCTCAGAAGCAGACGCTTCGCTCCTTCGTCGCGTCGCTCAGCCCCAACGCTGACACCGCCGTCACTGGTGGGTCTCTGAAGGATTCGCAGAGAAGAAGCGCGTTGCCAAGTAGTCGCCGTGGAATGCGAGATTCACATGTCAACCCTGTTACAAAACCACGAACCCTCGGAAAATGCTCGCCGAAATCCTTCAAGCATGCGTGTGTGTTCAAGCATGCTCGTCCTTGGGTGTACCTATGCTGTATTAGAACTTCGAGTATAAGTGCAGCAATTCAAGCATGCTCGTCCTTGCGTATCCTATTTATGCTGTTTGGTACTTTCAGTTCCATTGTGGTGGAACATCAACAGGCTCTACTACGACAAGGATGGTAACCACATATCGCAATCCGTGACGTGGGGAGGCGAGGTGGAGGACAGAGCGTACAGCAAAGGCAAGACGCTGCTTTCAAGCCAAGTGGAGAGCCTGCTTGGGTCGGCCATTAGCAGCCAAAAACTGCCCCACGACCCTGGTGCCGTCTATTTCCTCCTCTCGGACCAGTTTGTCACTCAGGTGTGCTGAGTGAAGGCAGTCCCACAGGATGTGGTGTGCATCTCGCCGATGCAGCATGTGGTGTGATGCCATGTTATGGTGATCCTCACTTCCTGTATGTTTGTCAATGCTGCTTTCGCAGAAATGGGGCAACCAGAGCACGTCTCAGAAGTTTTGCACGGACTTCTGTGGGTGGCACTACTACGCATGGGCCGACATGTACGGCGACTACGTTTACTCTTGGGTCGGCAAGGCTAACCTGCTCGTGAGTCGTGAACTGGAGATCATTAATCACGGTTTTTCAACCTCGCCAGCATACCTTGCTCTGCGGCCAAACTCACCTGATCACTCGCCTACTCATTCCGTTTCTCGTTTGTGCAGTGCCCCTCGTCCTGCATCCCCAGTGACATTCGCAACAACACCTCTCTCGCCCCCACGGGCGACCCAGGCATGGATGGCCTCGTCTCTGTCTTCGCCCACGAGTTTGCAGAGGCCACCTCCAGTCCCTTCATCTCCACGTGGTTCGACGGGGACGGCTATGAGAACGCCGACAAGTGCGCCTGGAAGTGAGCAGCCATTGCCACTCTGTCACCTTCTCATACCTTGTATACTTCGTCGATTTCTTTCGACCAAGCGCTGATGCTAACACTTCCACTCTACCACATTTTCAGTAACGGTGGCCTTCCCCCGGTTTTTCATTCATCTGGCAGGTTTGCCCCTTTTGGCTCTGAAGCAGCTGGCATTAAGTACAACCTGGTGGGGGTCAATGGCTCCAAATTCCTCATCCAGCAAAACTGGGACCTCATTTCTGGCTCGTGTGCGCTAACCATCCCATACTCACCACCCCCACCACCGCCTAGACCCCCATCACCTCCACCACCTCCTAGCCCTCCTCCACCTCCTTCGCCTCCCCCTTCCCCTCCACCCTCACCACCTCCGCCATCTCCTCCCCCTTCCCCGCCGCCCCCACCATCTCCTCCTCCTTCACCCCCTCCTCCACCATCTCCTCCTTCACCCCCTCCTCCAAAGCGAGCACCCCCTCCAAAGAAGCCGCAAAAAAATGGCATTGGTGATTTAATCAACAAGATATTCAGGCCAGGAGGGTGACCTGCTCTTTTTCCAATTCGAGAATCAAGCTCTCTCCGCTAATGTATAGAAACCTGCAAATTAATGGTAATCCCGTTTCTTCAAGCTACCTCCCACCTAGTACCGTACAAGTCACGCCGCACGTCACAACTTATCCAGTGTTACGAGTGCAATTGAGTGAATGAACGAGAATTGCACTATTGAAGCAAGAGTACAATGAGCGAAGGCATGAGCGGCGAATATATAGCGAAACTACAGTGGTAACGGTAATGGACTATGATTGTCGCGTGACGGGCCTGGGACTTGAGGTTGGGAATAGTGTCGAAGCAGAGGCCCGGAGCGCGGGTTACCCGTCGAGCCGTGGGGCCGGGGTGCGACGTGCGAAGGTGGCGGAAGGATTGTCGATGCGAGAGTCGCGAGTGGTAACGGTGCTGACTGTGGTGCTACAGTGGTGTACGCGCTAAGCGGGGACACGAAGTAAGGAAAGGAATTTTCCATATACTACCCCCCCCCCCCTAAGGAGATCCTCCTTACGAAAGTGCGTGTACATCCCTGAAGTTTCGGCTGCGCAGGTACTCGGTGAGGACGGGGTGGTTTTCGATTCTTTCCAGGGGAACCCAGTTGTCTTCGGTGGGTGTATGATCTTTCCAGCGGATCACGAACTCGATTCTTCGGGCCCCTCGAGGGTCACGAACTCGGTGGCTTAGGATTTTTTCGGGGGTGATGATTGGTTCAGTTGGCGGTCGTATCATGATGGCTGGGCGAGTGCGTGGAAGTTGGCTTGTGGACGGGACGTAAGGGCGAAGTACCGTATTCTCCCGGATAAAACACCCCCCGTAATTGTACACCCCCGGGTAGCTAATACAGGGTGGGTGTTATACCCGACCCCGTTTGTACTATACCCCCCCTTTTGGGGTGATTTTTTATAACACCCCCTTTTTCTTATAGATTCATATTATAGCTGTTATCGAGTCCGATTCCTTACGGGAAGATATCGCGAGAATTGCTCCCTAGGTGAAATTTCGCGTGTACTTTCATTTAGAATCTGCCAAGATTTCTTCCTCTCACAATCTCGATGTCGCCACGCAGGCAAATCTTCCGCTGCAAGTGGCCCAATAGGTGAAAATCACCTTCTCACATGAGGCACAAACACGTGACCAAACCAGTCAAGAAGTGACTGGTACAGTAAGAACGCACCAACGTGCGCGATTCTGGCCTCGGCGGTTGCATGAACCCTCGCCACGCAATTGGCTTTGTTTTCACCCTATCAAGTGCCAGAATTGCCCACTCGAATTTGCCACGTGGCAGATTCAAGTGGGCAGTCACGTTATCCTCGTATACTCGCTTTTGCGGCACTGGTCAACAATCTTGAAGTGGAGTCAGGCCCCTGATTTTGTTTCACATCTTTTCTACTTTATAAAAAATATACCATATAATAAGACCCGGGTGTTATGTAGGATTTTCCTTTGAGGAGACCCCCCCCATTTTTTCTTAGTGGTTTTCATAATACCCTAGGGTGTTTCATCCGGGAGAATACGGTAGGCTTACATAAAATGAGGGGCTCACGTACCAGTCAGCAGGGAGGAGGAGGTGGGCGGTGACGGGTGTGATCATATGGCTGATGCGAAATGGTCCACAGTATCGGGGACGGAGTTTTGGGGTGATGGGCAGGCGGAGGTTCTGGGAGTCAAGTAAAACTAGGTCGCCGGGCTGGTAAGTGACAGGTCTGCGGTGGCGGTCGGCGTTGCGTTTAGCGATGATGTTCGATTTTTTTATTGCGTCTGCTGCCCGGGTCCGTGCTGCCTGTAATATTTCGGCGAACTGCTGTGCTCGTGGTGTCAGAATGTTATATAGCTTATACATTTGTGTAGGCTATAGTGGGGTATCCCATAAGGGGTACAACCCAATTAGGGTTAGTACTTGTACTCACTTCTTTCATAGTTCATTCATTCTCGTTCTACTTTTCTCATGGTATCGAGCAGGTTCCCCCGTGGGAACTGTGCCTAAGGCCCACCACATCGATTTTTTTCCTGCCCGAAGCGCGCTCGCCCCGAGTCGCGCTGCGGGCCCTCTCTCGTTTTGTCAAGCCGCCCTAGAGGCCCCGCCGCCCGTCGATTAGGCCCCGCTGCCCTTCGTCCCGGCCCCGCCCTTAGTCGCGGCCCCGCCCTTCGTCGCGGCCCCGCTCTTCGTCGCGGCCCCGCCACCCCTCGTCGCGGCCTCGCCGCCTCTCTCGACGCGGCCCTGCCGCCCTTCGTCGCGGCCCTGCCGCCCTTCGTCGCGGCCCCGCCATCTCTCGTCGCGGCCCTGCCGCCCGACGTCGCGGCCCCGCCACCCCTCGTCGCGGCCCTGCCGCCTCTGTCGTCGCGGCCCTGCCGCCCCTCGTTGCGGCCCCCTGCCGCCCTTCGTCGCGGCCCCGCCACCCTGCTTTGCGGCCCCGCCACCCTGCTTTGTGGCCCCGCCACCCTGCTTTGCGGCCCCGCCACCCTGCTTTGCGGCCCCGCCGCCTCTCTTGACGCGGCCCCGCCGCTCTTCTTAGCGGCCCTGCCGCCCTTTGTCGCGGCCCCTGCCGCCCTTCGTCGCGGCCCTGCCGCCCTTCGTTGCGGCCCCGCCGCCATTCTTTACCGCGGCCCCGCCACCTCCCTTGCGGCCCCGCCGCCCTGCACCGCCCACTCCGCCCGTATCAGCTGAGCCGCCCGAGCCGCCCGAGCCTCCTGAGCCACCCGAGCTGCCCGAGCCGCCTGAGCCGCTGAGGAGCCGAGCCGCCCGAGCCGCTGAGGAGCCGAGCCGCCCGACCCGCCCGAGCCGCTGCGTACCCGAGCCGCCCATGCCGCCCGAGCCGCCCGAGCCGCCCGAGCCGCCTGCGCCGCCCGAGCCGCCCGAGCCGCCTGAGGAGGCGAGCCGCTGGTCCCGCGGAGCTGCTGTTGCTACTGGGCCGGCCGAGCGGCAGTGCTGTCGTGTTGCTGTGCTGCTGAGCTGCCCGAACAGCCCTGTCTGGTGAGAACGGCGCCTCTGTCGCTGCACTGCCCCTGTCCTATAGTCGCTACTGCTAGTCTACTGCTGTCATGGCTACCCCTAGTGTCCTAGCTTTTGACGCTGAGGGTCGCGCCATTGACTTTGAGGTCTGGGTCGACGACCTGCAGCTGTTCTTACAGTGCGATAGGGCAGACGACCTTTCTCTCTTTGACCTCACCTCTGGCGCCTCTCCTGCCCCTGCTGCTGATGCTGACGCCACTGTTCGCTACCAGTGGGCCACGCGAGATGCTGCTGCGCGTCTTGCTGTGCGTCGCCACCTCCCTACCTCTGAGCGTGCGCACTTTAGTCAGTACAAGAGTGCTCAGACCTTGTACGACGCTGTAGTTGCGCGCTACTCATCCCCTGCCACAGCTGCACTGAGCCGTCTCATGCTACCGTACCTCTTCCCTGACCTTGCTGCCTTTCCCACAGTAGCTGACCTCATTACGCACCTCTGCACTAGTGACACTCGCTACCGCGTTGCACTTCCTGCTGACTTCTGCGCCGCGAACCCCCCCCCCCCATGTACATCACTCTGTACTTCCTAGTCACTCGCCTACCTGACCCCCTTCGAGTAGTCAGGGACCACTTTCTCTCAGTCTGTCCCACCACACTCACTGTAGACCTCCTCGAGAAGGCCCTCCTCGCGATAGAGAAGAGCATAGTCGCTGTAGGAGCCTCTCGAGGTGACCCGCGCACCCCCATCTTTGAGGGGTGTTCTCCCTCCCCCCTGCCGCCCTCTGTTGCCTCTGCTGCTGCGGCCGACCTCCTTGGTCTTGAGTCGGTCAGTGCGGCGTCTGCCCCTAGCGGGAGACGCCGCCCTGGCAAGGGCAAGGGGGGCAAGGGAGCTGGAGGAGCGGGCGGTGGAGGTGGAGGTGGAGGCGGTGGGGGGAGTGGGGGTGGCAATGGGAGTGGAGGTGGGGGTGGGGGGGTCGGTGGCGGCAGTGGAGGAGGAGGCGGCGGCGGCGGTGGTGGTGGGAGCGGAGGTGGCGGAGGAGGCGGCAGTGGAGGCGGCGGCGGAGGCGGCCGAGGCGGTGGGGGTGGCGGAGGAGCTGGTCGCAGGTCTTTGCAGAGGAGTGGCTCCGGTGGTGGCTCGCGCCAGCAGCAGCAGCGCGGTCGTGAGACCCTGTCCCCTCAGCAGCTCTGTGAGTGGTACACTGCACGCCAGCGGGGTGGGGGTTTTGGACCGTGCACCTACGTCCTGCGCACCGGGGACCGTGCGGGTGAGCAGTGTGGGGGTGCGCACCCCACCCAGCGCTGCTTTGGCCGCCTGACGGACGCGCGTCACCAGTTCCCGGAGGCCTCAGAGATCCCTCGCTAGGGCGAGCTGTCTAGGGCGGGGGTTACCATCTTTGATCTTGACTTTGATGCTATTCTCTCTGCCATGTATGCTGTGTCTATTAGTGATGAGGGTGACTGTTACCGGTGTTTCCCGCCCGATCCGGGCATAGAGACTGCTGCTCTAGGTACTGGTGAGGCTGCTGCCCTAGGTGCTTGCGACGCTGCTGCTCTAGGTGCTAGTGTGTCTGCGTCCTCAGGTACTGGTGAGTCTGCGCTCTCAGGTACTACGTCGGCTTCGGCCTCCCTCACCTTCACCCTTATCTCTGGGGCGTCTCGCTCCTTCTTTCGAGACCGCACCACACTCACGCCGCTTAGTCGGCCGGTTGCGGTGTCTCTGGCTGACCCCTCTGGGGGTCCTGTCCTGTCTCGCTTCTCCACAGTCCTCCCGTGTCTGGCGGCTCCCTCTGGCACCCTGTCTGGTCTCTACCTCCCCTCGTTCTCGACGAACCTGGTGAGTGGTGCTGACCTACAGGATGCGTGTGTCCACCAGTTCACTCCTGCACGTCAGCGAGTGACCCACTGCACAGAGGCTAGCACAGGCCGACACCTGGCTACGTTCACCCGTAAGCCGGGGTCGAGCCTGTACACTTTGACCACTGCGTCTCCTCCAGTTGGTGAGTCTGGTAGG